TCCCCACACCTAACCCTAACCCCCATGGAGATCCAGGCCGCCCCCACGCCTGCACATAGCCCCCCTGGAGGTCCTGGGCTTGCCCACACCTAACCTTAACCTCCATGGAGATCCAGGCCTTCCCCACACCTAACCCTAACCCCCATGGAGATCCAGGCCGCCCCCACGCCTGCACATAGCCCCCCTGGAGGTCCTGGGCTTGCCCACACCTAACCTTAACCTCCATGGCCCCATGGAGATCCAGGCCGCCCCCACGCCTGCACATGGCCCCCCTGGAGGTCCAGGCCTTCCCCACACCTAACCTTAACCCGAATGGAGATCCAGGCCCTCCCCACACCTAACCTTAACCCCCATGGAGATCCAGGCCGCCCGCACGCCTGCACATGGCCCCCCTGGAGGTCCAGGCCTCCCCCACACCTAACCTTTACCCCCAAGGAGATCCAGGCCGCCCCCACGCCTGCACATGGCCCCCCTGGAGGTCCAGGCCTTCCCCACACCTAACCTTAACCCGAATGGAGATCCAGGCCCTCCCCACACCTAACCCTAACCCCCATGGAGATCCAGGCCGCCCCCACGCCTGCACATAGCCCCCCTGGAGGTCCTGGGCTTCTCCACACCTAACCTTAACCCCCATGGAGATCCAGGCCGCCCCCACACCTGCACACAGCCCCCCTGGAGGTCCAGGCCTTCCGCACACCTGACCTTACCCCCCATGGAGATCCAGGCCGCCCCCCACGCCTGCACATAGCCCCCCTGGAGAACCAGGGCTTCCCCACACCTAACCCTAACCCCCCCTGGCGGACCTGCCCGCCCCCAGGCCCGAGCTCCAGGGGCAAAATGCTTACAGCACCTGGTATTCCCAGGCGGTCTCCCATCCAAGTACTAACAGCCCGCCGCCCGACCTTGCCTAGCTTCCGAGATCAGACGAGATCGGGCATTCTCAAGGTGGTATGGCCGTAAGCACGGGGGTATGGAGCAGCGTGCCTCCTGACCCTGCTGCTGCGGTCCTCTCCTCCCCCAGAAGGAGCGCTCTTGGGCGGATGGCAGGCGCACGGTCCCCCGGTGGTTTCCAAGGGCCATAACTTTCTGGTCCTTTGCCCCCCGCGCGTCAAATTCACACTGCGGGTACCCCGGGACCAGGGAGTCCCCGGTCCCACCCCCGTGTCTGTAGCCCCCCTGGCTCGGCTTTGAGGAGCCCGGAAAGCGGGGCTTTCTTCCCCCGGGAATGGGCGCCCAGGCCCGGATCTGAGCGGTAGCAAAGCACACCCCGGTGGTAGCCCAGGACCAGAGGAGTGCGTGGGTGAAAACCCCAGTCTCTAGCACCCATGGTTCGTTTTTCTACAAGCCATGGAAGCCGAGGTTCTCCCCCCCAGAAGGAGCGCTCTGGGCGGATGGCAGAGGCACGGTCCCCCGGTGGTTTCCAAGGGCCATAACTTTCTGGTCCCCCCCCGCGCGTCAAATCACACTGCGGGTACCCCGGGACCAGGGAGTCCCCGGTCCCCCCCCGTGTCTGTAGCCCCCCTGGCTCGGCTTTGAGGAGCCCGGAAAGCGGGGCTTTCTCCCCCGGGAATGGGCGCCCAGGCCCGGATCTGAGCGGTAGCAAAGCACACCCCGGTGGTAGCCCAGGACCAGAGGAGTGCGTGGGTGAAAACCCCATGTCTCTAGCACCCATGGTTCGTTTTCTTCAAGCCATGGAAGCCGAGGTTCTCCTCCCCCAGAAGGAGCGCTCTGGGCGGATGGCAGAGGCACGGTCCCCCGGTGGTTTCCAAGGGCCATAACTTTCTGGTCTTGTCCTTGCCCCCCGCGCGCGTCAAATCACACTGCGGTACACGACCGGGGTCCCCGGGACCAGGGAGCCCCCCGGGTCCCCCCCCGTCTGTAGCCCCCCTGGCTCGGCTTTGAGGAGCCCGGAAAGCGGGCTTTCTTCCCCGGGAATGGGCGCCCAGGCCCGGATCTGAGCGGTAGCAAAGCACACCCCGGTGGTAGCCCAGGACCAGAGGAGTGCGTGGGTGAAAACCCCATGTCTCTAGCACCCATGGTTCGTTTTCTACAAGCCATGGAAGCCGAGGTTCTCCTCCCCCAGAAGGAGCGCTCTTGGGCGGATGGCAGAGGCACGGTCCCCCGGTGGTTTCCAAGGGCCATAACTTTCTGGTCCTTTGCCCCCCGCGCGTCAAATTCACACTGCGGGTACCCCGGGACCAGGGGAGTCCCCGGGTCCCACCCCCGTGTCTGCCCCCCTGGCTCGGCTTTGAGGAGCCCGGAAAGCGGGGCTTTCTTCCCCGGGAATGGGCGCCCAGGCCCGGATCCCGGAGCGGGAGCAAAGCCCGCCCCGGTGGTAGCCCAGGTCCGGAGGAGTGCGTGGGTGAAAACCCCATGTCTCTAGCACCCATGGTTCGTTTTCTACAAGCCATGGAAGCCGAGGTTCTCCTCCCCCAGAAGGAGCGCTCTTGGGCGGATGGCAGAGGCACGGTCCCCCGGTGGTTTCCAAGGGCCATAACTTTCTGGTCCTTTGCCCCCCGCGCGTCAAATTCACACTGCGGGTACCCCGGGACCAGGGGAGTCCCCGGGTCCCACCCCCGTGTCTGTAGCTCCCCTGGCTCGGCTTTGAGGAGCCCGGAAAGCGGGGCTTTCTTCCCCCGGGAATGGGCGCCCAGGCCCGGTCTGAGCGGGAGCAAAGCCCGCCCCGGTGGTAGCCCAGGTCCGGAGGAGTGCGTGGGTGAAAACCCCGTGTCTCTAGCCCTTATGGTTCGTTTTCTACGAGCCATGTAAGCCGAGGTTCTCCTCCCCCAGAAGGAGCGCTCTTGGGCGGATGGCAGGCGCGCTGTCCCCCGGTGGTTTCCAAGGGCCATAACTTTCTGGTCCTTGGTCCCCCGCGCGTCAAATTCACACCGCGGGTACCCCTGGACCAGGGGATCCTTGGGTCCAACCCCCGTGTCTCTCCCCCTTGGGCTCGGCTTTGAGGAGCCCGGAAAGCGGGTCTTTCTTCCCCCGGGAATGGGCGCCCAGGCCCGGATCTGAGCGGGAGCAAAGCACACCCCGGTGGTAGCCCAGGACCAGAGGAGTGCGTGGGTGAAAACCCCGTGTCTCTAGCCCTTATGGTTCGTTTTCTACGAGCCATGTAAGCCGAGGTTCTCCTCCCCCAGAAGGAGCGCTCTTGGGCGGATGGCAGAGGCACGGTCCCCCGGTGGTTTCCAAGGGCCATAACTTTCTGGTCCTTGGTCCCCCGCGCGTCAAATTCACACCGCGGGTACCCCTGGACCAGGGGAGTCCTTGGGTCCAACCCCCGTGTCTCTACCCCCTTGGGCTCGGCTTTGAGGAGCCCGGAAAGCGGGTCTTTCTTCCCCCGGGAATGGGCGCCCAGGCCCGGATCTGAGCGGGAGCAAAGCACACCCCGGTGGTAGCCCAGGACCAGAGGAGTGCGTGGGTGAAAACCCCGTGTCTCTAGCCCTTATGGTTCGTTTTCTACGAGCCATGTAAGCCGAGGTTCTCCTCCCCCAGAAGGAGCGCTCTTGGGCGGATGGCAGGCGCGCTGTCCCCCGGTGGTTTCCAAGGGCCATAACTTTCTGGTCCTTGGTCCCCCCGCGTCAAATTCACACTGCGGGTACCCCGGGACCAGGGGAGTCCCTGGGTCCCACCCCCGTGTCTGTAGCCCCCCTGGCTCGGCTTTGAGGAGCCCGGAAAGCGGGGCTTTCTTCCCCCGGGAATGAGCGCCCAGGCCCGGATCTGAGCGGGAGCAAAGCCCGCCCCGGTGGTAGCCCAGGTCCGGAGGAGTGCGTGGGTCCAAACCCCATGTCTCTAGCCCCTCTGGTTCGCCTTCTACGGGCCCGAGAAACCGCCACTTTCTTGACCGAGAATAGGCGCTCCGTGAGCGGACACGGCCGCGCTGTCCCCCGCTGATTTTCCGCTGATTTTCAGACCGACGTAACATTCCCGTCTCTTGTCCCCCGTGCGTGCCTACGTCCACACGCCACGGAAGATAACACAGCGCCTGAACCAATTTAGAGTCCGAGAAACCCAGGCGCTGCTCAAAAAAAAGGCCCACTATTGGCCCGACAATGCATTCCCTTAAACACTGCCTCAAGGAAAAACCCGGAGACTCGCAATCACAATAGCCCGGGCGGAGCCGAAACACCAGTACCCACATAGCGGCACCGGCGACAATTCCCGATGGGCCTGCAATAACACCCTGGGCACCCACCGGGATGCAAAGACAAGGACCGCCTGAATCGGTTGATTTACTCGCCGTGCTCATGGTAGGGACTGGGGGACCAGGCCAAGGCGCACATAACCAAAGGTCGGCAAAAAGGCAAGTAAGGACAAAACAAGGAAGTATAGGACAGCCGCGGACCCCACCGGGGCCGGAATGGCACTACGATTCGCTGGCCGTGCACAACGTCTACCCACGGGTGCGGGAGCGGTTCCGACGCAAAGAGCGAAGGGCCAGCGGGGTGAAACCACTGCCAAGCCGACTCACCGCCAATACAAGCGGCTCTCAAACACACAGCCGCTCAACATTGCAAACGATAAAGAAGCCGGCCACTACCGGCCAGTACACCCCCTACGCGCCACGAGATCGCATATCAGCGCGGCAGCTCCGCCATTAGCCGACCGCATCACTAACGGTATCTTTCCCTAATAAACACGACTATCCGTCCGAGTACCGGCCTCCAAACAACAAAGGGAACCGCCAAATACCTGTGCCCTCCCCCTTCCACCCCAATTTCCCACTTATTGCATGCAGGACGAAGCACTTGGCAACAAGAGGGGAGACCCCCACCAACCCCAAAAAATCCCACCTGCTGTGGATGGCACGCTGCACAGAGACGTAAACCAAGGAGAGATGTATAACGCGTATACTGTTTGAACCCGGGTGTTGAAAATGGGCGAATACAACGGGATCGCCTGACCGCCGTATGGAAACGGGCAGACACACTACGGGGCCGCGGAGCCCTGAAGAACTGGCTGCCAGAGATTGTCGGGCGGGAACACGCCCTCAAAAAAACGACTTAATATGAAGGGCGGGAACATGAAAACGCACTTCGACCAGGCCCACGGATGTTGACCGAATACGCTGGCACTATACGTGAACGGCAGATCAAAGTCCAGAACCCAGGAAGGCAGACTACTCGAACATATACATAAGCTCCGTGGCCCAAGATCGGACATGCACGAGAATCATACAGAAAAGAGAGGAATGCACTATGAACAGCAGAATGCTACCACCCGTGCCAAAGATCCAAGCACCGGCAGAAAAAAAAAAATAGGCGACAAACTAACTAAGTGCAGAGATGTGCTGGGAGCAATGGACGGGTAGTCCGACCAGCCCCACGCGATAAATCGCGCCTCCACGCGGCGGGCTAATAGAGGATAAACGCGTCGGGCACCGTCAGGGAGAATGCGGGAAAACCCTATCAAAGCGGGATCAGAGGATGGGGTCGGCCGGAAACAAACAGACACCGGCTACAAGACATCCAAGGCCCCATTTCAGGCAAACCTAGTTCGAGTCCCAAGGGCCCACCTCCCGGAACGCGCGCTGAATAGGATCCGATCGGCGCAGGGGGGCTCAGTCGAGGACGCAGAACCGGGGCAAGCCAAGAACCAAGAACAAGGGCGAGGCGAGGAACATCAAGACACACGGCGGGGTAGCGTGAAAGGAAAAGCCAAATGCCAGCAGTGAGGTCGCACGCAGGCCGCGACACATAAATCCCGACACGCGCAAACTTGGGGCCGAGGATCGCTGGCCCACTCCCAAAGGGACAGACCGGATAAGAGCTGCAACCTGAGGCTAGGCCCCTCAAAAAGACGGCGGTCACCGCGCCGGGGCCCTCCTATTCTTAGAACCAGATGCCAACCAAGCGGGACCCTGTCATGGTCTCTCGGCGCCGCGCCGACGGCAATGCGCGTGACCACTCCGCACTCGCAAAGACACACGAGGGCGTTCGCTCTAACAACACCCAATTTCCGCCCGTTACCAGGTATGGCCAAGACCCAGTAGACCTTACGGCAGGGAGCCTATCAAGGGCCCGAAGACGATACGAATAACACACGGAATACCCAGCTAAACAAACAGTCTCCCCTGCGCACCCAGAGGCGAGTCCGTGACGGAAATCAGGGAGAAAGACTCGCCAACGGCCGAAAGTCAAGATCGCACTGCAACTCGAAATACAGGAATGGGTACCGCCGGACCCAACCCCCTCACCTTAAGTCCCTCTACCCAAGCGGCAAGGATGGCAGTTTGCACCCGCCGTCAGCCGTGCACCCACGCGCGGAACCTTTCCGCCTTGGCGTCGCCCAATGGCCCACGGACGCACCTACCAACAGGCGGTTCCGGGGCACATGCAGACCCACTCCAGGCGCGGGAACCGCACATGGAAACTCGCGCCGGAAGCATAAACAGTCAACCGTCCACACGATAGACAGCAGGGAGCCGGGCCGATGGTCCAAACGCGCCGCACAGGACATACTTCCATGGGCCGCGCCCCCCCCGCGCGCAAAAACAGAGGGCGCCGCCGCGACGGGGCGCCCGCGTATGCAAAATAGGAGGGCAAAGACAGACCCGGCACAAAAAAAGAGGCACCAGAACTAAAGAGAACCCCCCGAACCAGCGGGCCGCACACAACTGACAGAATCTACCAACATAATATGTCTTCTGTATCCGTATCCATAATCTATGCCACGCTTATCTGCGGGATTTCATTGGCGCAGACGCCACAACTGACGTTATCAGAGGTAAGCCTGAAACACCCGACCTGCTTACGCGGTCGGGCAACCACAGCTTCGCCGGAGATAGTGTCGCAGGTCTTCCCCATCCAGCAGGGTCAACCAACCAGCACCTACGCCACCCACCATCAACGACTCGCGACCACATTGCAACAACCCGACGGCCCAAAACAACCTAGCGGCGGTACAGCAGCCACCGGGCAAGGCCAACTACCGCAACGTCTCGGTTTCGCGTATCGGACCCCGCCTGCTCGTGTCGCCGTTTCGCACCGAGCGGGCCGAATGACGCGCCTAAAGCCGCGGAAGCACGCAAACTCGCCGTGGCACGCCCCGTGGTCGAGTACAATATCCTGGGCATCAGCGCGCCCGTGCGGCAGCAAAACTTCAATCTCGCCTGCGGAAGGCGGCCGCCACGTACCATAGGAGCTATGGGCGTTCACAGGGCAACACAACTCCGGCACCCCCCGCTGTTGAAACCTCGACGCACCGGCCGCACAAAAAACTTCCTCTCGCCACAAAGATCCGGTTAGCCCATGCACATGGGCCTCTGGTCGTACCTCCCTGATCCACCGACCAAATACAAACAGGACACGATCTCAGAACCAGGACTAAGACCAAGCACCACATAAATCCAAATGAAGCCAACGTTAGCACCACCGGACGGGTGAGCACTCCCGTCTCGACACTGGCGCCCTTCTGCCCGGTGGCCCCTCCCCCGACCAGGACCGGTCACTCCCCAACAAGCATAACGACATCCCGCCTTCGCCCCCGCTCGTCGTAACCGCCCCCCCAGGCCCATGCGTCGACTGAACCGTCGCACGCGTACGAACGCCCTACGTCACTATGGGTGACATGCCGTCGGCGACTAGGACGGCCTCCCCGGCCGGCCCTGTTCAACCCCAGTGCGAACTCGCCCCGCGGCAATAGTGAGGACTGTCCCCGGGGGGGTCGAACCGCCCTACCAGCCACCCCGGGTGCTCGCACCCGCCGGAGCCCATGGCGGCGAAGCTCTAGGAGCAGCTCCCCTGGCTGCCACACCTCCCAATGACACTGTATCAGTGGGCGCCGTGCGTGGCCTGATAATGCATTCCTCATGCGTAACCCCAGCCACCTTGCCCGCCCGACAATAAGATCCGTAGCGGGCGCGGCCCCCTACCCGCCCTGTCCAGCCCCACCTCGTGTATAGAAGAGGCCCATCCTAACAGACTGCATCCCGCGAACCCCCTCACGCAGCGTCATCCCCCCCGCGTGCCCAGGCTCACCTGCGCGGACCGTCGCTTGGGTGAGCATGGCAAACGCCACACGGGCTGCCCGAGTTGCGCCGGGCGTGGCGGGAGCCGGGGAATGCTATGTGGGTAGGAAGTCGGCGGTATGCCGCCGAAAAATCTCGCCCCGCCATCCGGGGGTGGGACTCAAGCCTGCCCCGACCCCCGCGTGCAGGCGGGTGGCGGCCCGGCAGCCTTGTCCGGTGGCTCCCGCGGTGTCCGTCGCCCAGGGGGGCTACAGCTCGCCAGGGCGCCCCCATTTAACGGTCGTCCAAAGCCCCGGGCGGTCGCCCGACCCCCGCCCGCACGTCGGACCAGTAAAACCTACCAGCCCCAGCTGACCCTCACACGTGGCCTCACGTGGACGGCGCGGCACCCCCACCACTACGCAAGCCCGGCCCCCCGGCGCCCTGCCAAGCATTCCCCGGCTGGGTGCGATCCAACACCGGCCCTGCGTGGCCCCCTCCCCCCGCTTGGTGTGCGCACTCGTCGAAAGCCCAGCGACTGAAGCCGCCCGCCCCACAGGCCCCAGGGCTGCCCGGCGTCGCCGCGTACCACCCAGATAGGGCGCATCTCCCCCGTCGCCCCGTGCGCCTACCGGCGCTTGTCCAGAAGCCCTTCATAGTACGCCAATGGCAGCCTCGCCCAGCTCAGTTGACGGCGCCCGCCGCCCCACCCAACTCGCGACCGCCCGGCGACCGTCCATGCCCACCCAAGCCGCGACAATGCGTATGTTCATAGACATGACAGGCAGGTTGTAGCTGAGCCGTAGCCCCCAAGGCGCAGACCAAACCACCCACGTTGCCCTTTCTTTGCAGCCCACAGTGCAGACGGGACGACGCCCCTGGCCACTGCCCACCCAGTTCCTGCTGCGGCGCGGCACGTTCGAATGCCCACCCCCTCTCAGGCCCCTCGGCATGGCCTGTCTCAAGCTGTCTGGTCTCTCGGGCCCCACCGCACGCGTTACCGACGATGGACTCCCCGCCCGCCCCGTCCCTATCCCCCCCGTGTGCGCCTCCCGGGGCGCTGTCCCCCCCCGCGTCGTCACTGTCCGCCACGCGGCCCCAGAAGGGTATTCCGCCCCTGAACCGCCCCGGGAATCGGGAGCACTGGGATCGGCTGGTGACCGGTGCTTCGCCAATCCCACCAAGAAACCCACTGCTGCTCCGCCTAACGCCCTCTTCAGTGCGTCGTCGGCCACTGGCCTGACGTACTTTCCACCCGCCGCCTGTCACCCCGCATGCCGCACTCTACCGGCGGATCCCTCGTAATCGACACTCCGCCTAGCTTTCCCTCCCTGGTCTGCCTCTTGTCGCACGCCCTGGAGTGAGCTCCCTATCCTGGTCCTTGCCCGCGAACCTGCTGACCCCCCCCGTTGTCTGCTGTTCCCCCTTCCGTCTCCCACTTGTTCTGCTTCACCCCGCCCCCCCCCATCTCATCCCCCTCCCCCCCAGACCCTCCACTCTGCCTTCCTCTCCTCTTCCTCTCCTCCTCTCGTCCCCCTCCACCTCTCCTCCACGTCTGTCCCCACTCCGCCTATCTTTGTCCGCCTCATTCCCCTCTCTTCACCCCCCCTACCCACTTCCCTACTGCTTCCCCCTCATTCTTTTTCTTTTCTTTCCCCCAGAAGGAGCGCTCTTGGGCGGATGCAGAGGGCGCGCTGCCCAGGTCCGGAGGAGTGCGTGGGTCCAAGCCCCATGTCTATAGCCCCCCTGGTTCGCCTTCTACGGGCCCGTGAAACCGCCACTTTCTTGACCGAGAATAGGCGCTCGTGAGCGGACACGGCCGCGCTGTCCCCCGCTGATTTTCAGACCGACGTAACATTCCCGTCTCTTGTCCCCCGTGCGTGAAAATCACAGGGGTGGTAGCCCAGGTCGAGACGTGTCCCTGGGTCCAGACCGCGAGTCTCTGGGCCTCTGCGTTGATTTTTAACCAATTTCTGGAGATTCTGTATTCCTAGGCACACGGGCTTTTGGAGGAAAAAATGACAAAGTGTCTAGCGAGCTCAAGTGCCT